TTAAGTAGGGCACGTATTGCATGGAGCACTGGGTGTGGTGCAAAAATAATGAATTCTGTTACACTGAAAAGAAATTAAAAAAAAAAGACATTGATGAAAGAAATGTAAAACAACACAAATGGAAAGGCATTCCATGTTCATGGACTAGTAGTACAAATATTGTTAAAATATCCATACTACCCAACAATGTAATCCTTATCAAAATACCAACAACATTTTCATAGAACCAGAATAAATAACCCTAAAATTTGTATGGAACCACAAAAGACCCCAAATAACCAAAGCGATATTAAAAAAGAAGAAAAAAACCAAAGGTATTACAATTCTAAATTTCAAGATGTACTACAAAGTTGTAGTAATCAAAACAGTATGGTACTGTCACAAAAACACACAAAGAGCAATAGAACAGAATAGAGGTCCCAAAAATAAACTCACAATTGTATGGCCAATTAATCTTTGACAAAGAAGGCAAGAATATGCAATGGGAAAAAAGACAGTCTCTTCAACAAATGCTATAGGGAAAACTGGACAGCTACACACAAGAGAATGAAACTGGACCACTTTCTTATACCATACACAAAAATAAACTCAAAATGGATTAAGGATCTAAATGTGAGACCTGAAACCATGAAAATCCTACAAGACAGCACAGGCAGTAATATATCTGACATCATCCATAGTAACATTTTTCTAGATATGTCTCCTCAGGCAGTGGAAACAAAAGCAAAAATAAACTATTCGGATTACAACAAAATAAAAAGATTCTGTACAGCAAAGGAAACAACCAACAAATCTAAAAGACAAACTACTAATTGGAGGAAGATATTTGCAAATGACATATCCAATAAAGGGTTACAATCCAAAATATATAAAGAATTTATACAACTCAACACCATAAAGACAAATAATCTCATCAAAAATGGGTAGAAGACAGGAACAGAAATTTCTAAGTAAAACACAAATTGCTGCCTCTTGTATCCCCTACAATAAAGAAAAAAGCACAGTGCCTAAGAGGGTGCTTTGAGTTCTGCAAGCAACATACTTCACGTCTAGGAATATTTGGGGGGCATTCATGCCAAGTGACATAAAAACCTGCCAGCCTTACAACCTGGCAAAAGAGCTCTACAGCAGGTCTGAAGTGGTGGCACAAGCGGCCTTGATACTTGTGGTGTAGGATCTGGCACACTCTAGGGTGTTAAAAGTTGCCACTTTTAGAAAAAGACCCATTGTGGAGTTTATAGAAATCATAGTAGGAGAATCCCAGTTCAGGAGCCCAGAGTTCTTTAAAAAAATTAGATCTCAGCATGCTACTGGGAAAAAAAAAGGGAATGTTTGACCATGGGACACTAAATGATACAAAATGAAATTTGTGTTGTTGAACCCATCATGTCATAAATTCTGGAAGGTCCCACCATAATTCATCATAAGATGAAAGTATTCTATTTGGGATGGAGTGCAAAGAAGATGAGAAGGCACAAACAATTCATATCAACAGACAGGACAGACCTTGATGTCACCCTTCAGTTGCATCAACACCCCTCTCTCAGCTGGCACTCATGGCTGTATCGGGTAGGGATGGTGTCTTGAACAACAAGCTGAAGAAAGAAAATAGCTGAACTTAGCTTACAGCTGAACTGGCTGAGTCTGTGGATGAAACCTGAAACTGGACAGCAGCTACAGCATAGCCTCTCTCTCAAATTGTCTCAAAGACAGCAGTGGGACAAGCTTTCTAATGGGTAGAGCTTCAGAGGGTGCAACTGGTAATCCACTTGTATGAGAAGGAAAAGTGGCTTGATGTCAGAATATAAATAGATTAACAGGAAATGGCAAAAAGCTTGGCTGGCTGGTCAGAGGTCTTAAAAGAAAGAGATTTTAAAATTTGCAGACAAAGCGATCTCCAAGGGCTACATGTATGTGGATATGAGTATTGTTGTGGGTCAAAAGTGTGAAGATATTTTGAACACACATCAATATCCACAAGAAAGCATACATTATGGAATAAACACTAAACAACCAAGTAAACAAAATTACTCATCTAGTTGATGTTAGCCTGTCTTTGTTTGTGGCCACTCCAGTGATGGCACAATAGACAATTGAGTGAAATGGTCAGGGTGACAAAAATGGAGTCTATGCATGGAGCCCATGAGCATGAAGCCCATTTGCTATAGCTGACCTACCTACTGCCTCATTTGCACATTCTGCCAGCAAAAGAACGCAATGTTGAGCTTCTAATATGTCTTCACTCCTTTAGGAGATGAACTAGCAGTTCCATGGCAAGTTGACCACTTTGGAAACTTTTATCCTGGAAGGGGAAGCAGTTCCAACCCATGGGAATAGATTAGCTATATTGGGTATGAGTTTGCACTTCATACCCACCAATCTTTATCCAGCACCAGTATTTGGGAACTTATACAATGCCGGATTCACAGACATGGAATACAATACAGCATCCAACCAGGTAATCACTTCACAGTAAAGGTAGTGTAGGAGGGTGCCTGTGACCATGGGTTCCACTAGTTATATCCAGAAGTTGGAGGCCTAAGAACACTGCTGAGGATAAAGTTCAAGCACCTAACAGGAGACAATACAAGGAAGAGGTGCTGTTCCCCAGGATGCAGGAGACTCTGATATGGGTTAAAGTCCCCAGTAGGAACAATACATGGGTCTACACGACAAGGGATTAAAACGGGATTAGCCCCATTTACCATCATTCCCACTGACCCATTCCAGCAATTCTGCACTTTGTGGAATTAGAGGTCCTAGTACCCAAAGATGTTATATTCTTGTCAGAGGACACAGCAAGATGAAATAAGCTTCAACATCTCGTGTATGGGCACTCTGAACTTCCAGAATTCAGAGACAAATAGGCAAAAAAAGGACTCAACACCCTGGTAGGAGAAGTTAACACGGATCAGGAGGAGAATGTAGGCTTGTTGTTACATAACAGGAACAGGTAAGAAGATGTGTGGCACACAGGTGATCCACTTGGGCATCTCTTAATGCTACCTTGCCCAATAGCGACTATAAATAGGCAAGTACAGCAACACCTGCATGAGAAGACAATTATTAATTGGGGCTCAAATTTCTCAGGAACTAGGGTTTTCACACCACTAGTTAAACTACTGAGACCAGCAGAACTGGTAGCTGAGAGGGAGAGGAATTTAGAATGAATAGTGGAGGAGAAAGGTTCAACAGCAGCTCAAGGCCACCGGCAAAGATGGGGACTGTAGTTTGTTCCACTAACTTTTCTGAGTTTCAGGAAGAGAGGCCACTGGAACCCCGGAGGAATTACTCTCTACGTGTATATACAGAGTGGATCTGAACGATGCAAGCGGTGGACTGTGACAGTTGAAAAGAGATACTCTGCTCAGATACCTTTTCAAGAAAAAAACTCTGCTAGGAGTGTGGTTAGGTGACAGATTTCAACTGTTAACACTTCCAAGCACATCTCAGGTTTTGAATTGAGGCCACATTTTTCTTAAGGGGCTCCAGCCAATGACTGAGCAAGAATGTGTTATGAGAGCTGAGCCATTTTATCACAGTGGAGGACTCTTCATCTTTGCTCTGGAGTTACCTGTGCCCAATTCCATTTCCTCCCTTTTCCTTTTACCATCTGACATTCTGAACCCTATATCACAGTTTGCTTCCTGAAGCAAATTCTGAAAGGACAAACTTGTCTTTTCCAGCTCCATCTAACTCCCCTAGCTTCAACTCTAACTTTCTTATATCTATTGATAATTGTAGGGGTGGTATTGTGCTTTTTATTCAGATACAGATAGAAATGTTTATCAGATTCAGCTCCTGTTCCCTGTGTTGGTACAACTGAAATCTATTCACTTAAATATTTAAAGACATAAAAATGTGCTTTAACTATGGTCATATATGTTAAATATGAAAAAGAATAGATAATACTGTTATGTAGTAGGAATTAAGTCACATACAACAAGTGTATCAACTAATTCAATTCTTGAAAGTATTCTATGGGGTAAGTACTAATTTTTTTCCCACCTAACAGAAAATGGGCACCCAGTGTTGCCCAAGAAAAATCATCCAGGAGTACCTCAAAAGAAAGAGTTAAACATAAGTAGGCCCGCTCCAGTGTCTTTATCTGTAATTGCTATACTCTTCTGCCTCAAAGAAAGGGTCAGTAACGCAAGTTCTGTAAAATTCTAATAGAGAAATGTTTGGAGAAACCAGGCCTGATGTATAGAAGGTTGAGTAACATAAAGATACAGTTGCTATAGCAAAAGATACTTTTTAAAATAGTAAGAAATAGTTAGGCTTTGATTTTGTTACTACTGTAAAGACTAAGAAAACTATTTCACTAATTACCTCTGATCTCTGCACCGTCTGCTATTTCCAAGTTGGCCAGCCAGTCTCCTTACCCTCAGGATGTCTTGCCAGCTGGTACCTTAAACTCAAACAGAGGCATCATCCTCTCTACAAAATTAGCTTCTCCTCATTACTTCACTTTGTTTGTGGTCCAATATTCTCCCATTCCCGTAGGCTTGAAATCTTGGGTCGTTAAAGACACTTAACGCTTCTGACATTTTCGCTTATATAGATTCTTCATATAACTACAGAAAAGAGTCTGAAAAAGGTGTCTGTTATTCTTAAGATTTTCACGGAAAAGTGACTGGAAAGGTCTATTTTTTACAAACTGTAAAGAACTAGCTTTAGAGTAAATTTTGCCAGTACCTCATCACTACCAATCTTCAAAGAAGCCGCCGGGATGTCCCCGGCTCCTACCAAGAACTACAATTCCCGCCGTACATTGCGATCTTCACAGCCTGAAAAAAATTACAATTGTGACGGCATTTCCGCCCTCCCAGGCGGCGAATGCCGGACTTTGTAGTTTGAGTTAACTTCTCTTTTGTGGCAGTCTTGGAAAAAGAAAATTAAGGCCAGACCAGTTGCTCTAAATTTGGCATTACGAAAGGGCATTTAAAGTAAGTTAATAGGATAACGTTTTAAAGTGAAATTTAGCGTCAGGTTTTTAATGTATTTCACGTACCGCCTTCCTCGTACTGCCGGGCCGGGAAGGGGAAGTGACGTGAATCCGGTGTAATGGCGGTGCGGTGTAGCTCCAGGTAATTACCGAACTCTAGACTCGCTTCAGGCAGCCAACCGAAGTGGGGTTGGCGGGTTGCCGGTTCGGGTGGGAATTTAAAGGGGACCAGGAGTAGGTGCCGCCCTGCTGGGACCGCCGTCGGCAGCGCCAGGGTATGCGTGGCTTTCCTCTAGGCGCCCGGGGCCCGCGAGGCCGAGGTGTGAGAGCCGGTCGGGCGGAGGAGTCTGAGCGGGTGGGAAGTGCTAGCGTGAGCTCTGTCCCTGACTGCGCGGTTCCTGGTGAGGTTCCTGCAGCTGTCTCTCTGCGGTGTCTTTGTTGCGGAAGTCTAGCGCTGCGCTGGGCCTCTTGTCTTGTCGGCGCGGATTACTTAGAGCTTCTCCAGTCGTTTGGAATTCCCAAGGGCCCTTTTTTAGTGTCCGGGCTCCAGGCGGTGGGAGTGGGATTAATGAACTGTAGTTAATTAGAAAATAGCGGAAGTTCCGCTCTTATGCCCCTTTCTAGCGTAATACACCTGTACAGCTTCTTTAGACTTTCATTAGTCGTTTCTTTTTCATTCATTTGCCCCCATGAAGGTGCTTTCTAGTATTTAGTCCTGGGGCTTTTCGTTCCTTTTTAAATGAGCTCTCTGCCGTCTTTTATCCTTCCATAAATTGATCTATTTCCAGTAAGGTGATACTCCCCAAGTTGGGTCTCCAGTGTGTCCAGACATCGAGCTTCGGATCCTACTATACACTTGTACATGTCGGTAGTAGTTCATTTCGCTGAGTCTAACTGCAGTAACCACTTTACTTATTTTGACTTAATCCTCACAAAGACTTTTTGAGATTGAGAAGGAAAAACTTTGAGAAAGAATATTCCAGATGCAAGAAATAAGTGGTGATTGAAAGCATAGTAAGAGTTCCCTTTACATTTTTAGGTGTCCCGCAGACTGACAATAGCAGATAGAAAAAACAAGCAGATTTGTCCTTCAGAAAACTAGTTAACCTACCTTCTCCTTCTCCTATTTAAGCTTGTTTTAGGATTGCCTGTGAACTTGGGAGTTAACCTCAATTATGGTCCTACTATAGAAAAGCGAATTTAGAATTGGCATTGAAAATGTGACTTCGTTCGCAGAAGCGTTGTGACAAGCATCATCTGTAGGAGAAGGAGACCTACTTGTGTTGATGCTGGATGATGGACTGGGAAGCCAAGACTCCAGTCTTGATTCAGCCCTTACTAGGTCTGTCACTTGGGGCACCTTACCTAACATCTCTAGTCTCAACTTCTTCATCTGAAAATGTGAATGATAATAATATCTAACTTAGTGAGTTGTTTTGAGGATAAAGGAAAATGATGTGTATAAGGCACTGTGCACAGTGCCTGACATAATGTAGCTATTATTGTTACTACTGTGATATAGTTGATGAGTTCTCTTGCCTCAGTTCTTGTCCTTTGGTTTTGAACGTTGCCCTTCCACTTTTAAGTGCCCATGCTGCTTTCATGGAGCATTTCCCACCTCATTTGGCTGGGGTCTGGTTAACTGTTCTCCCTGATGATTGTACATTGCCAGTTGGTATACATTAACGTCTTGTACCTGAGACCATCTAAGAGTGCACACATTTATAATGTTTGTGCCCTAACTTAAACATTATCTTCTGTTTGTTACCCACTTGTATCTAGAGACTGAATTTTGTACTACCTGATATGTCCCTAACTTGATATAAGTTATGGCTGGCCTAGAGCTAGTTTAAGAAAGAGGTAGTTATTTGCAATATGCTGATCCTACTGATGACTCTGTGGGCTTCCTTGTGGCATTTCTCTACCATCTAAACTTTGAAAATTTTAGCATGGGAAGTTGATAAAACAAAAAGGCCTCTGGCATGTTAGTTTCAGCAAATTTCTGGACTTACTAAATGTGTAGCCTAAATATTTTATCCGTGTATACATTTCCCAAGTGGACACTGGAAGAGATAATTCATTGCCTACAAGAAAGTGCAAATTTTCAAAGCATTTTCTTCAAAAATAATACATCAGGAGAGGAAGTGATGGATTAAAGCAAGCCTTTGCTATTTGTAGCCAAGTTAGTAAGTCTTTTCCCAGAGAACAGATACCAAAAAGATAGCATAAGCTGCCTCGGTCTGGAGACATTAGGGCTCCTGTGATTATAGAAGCTAATGGGAGCAAAATTATACAAAGAGCCCAAATGTCCACTGAGTGATGAATGGATAAAGAGGATGTATTATATATATTATATTGTGGTATATATATTACTCAGCCATCAAAAGGGATGAAACTTGGCATTTGCAATGACATGGGTGGAGCTAGAGTGCGTTATATTAAGCAAAATAAGTCAGAGAGGGACATCTGGGTGGCTCAGTCGGTTAAGCCTGTGCCTTCAGCTCAGGTCATGATCCCAAAGTCCTGGGATCAAGTCCCACCTTGGGTTCCTTGCTCAGCAGGGAGCCTACTTCTCCTCTGCCTCTCCCCACTGCTCTTGCTCTCTCCCTCTCTCTCTCTCACAAATAAATAAAATCTTAAAAAAAAAAAAGACAAATGCCATATGATTTGACTCATATGTAGTATTTAAGAAACAAAACAGGAACATAGGGGAAGGAAGGTAAAATTATATAAGACAAAAACAGAGAGGGAGGCATAGTTAAGAGACTGTTAACTATAGAAAAAAGCTGAGGGTTGGTAGAGGGGAGGTGGGCAGGATAATGGGCCAAATAGGTGATGGGCATTAAGGAGGATACTTGTAATGAGCACTGGGTGTTATATGTAAGTGATAAATCACAGAATTCTACTTTTGAAACAAATACTACACTGTATGTTAACTAACTTGAATTTAAATAAAAACTTGGAAGATAAAAAATAAAACTCATCTTGAGGGAGAAATGAGGGAGGAAGAAACTCAGTGAAGATTCGTATTTTTCTTAACTTTGGGCCTAATTCAAATGAATCAGGATAGACAGAGTTCAGCTCTTCAGGTGAAAAGTCACCCTGTGACTCCTTCCCTCAATTATTTTATCAAGACAGTTTTACTCTAGATTTGGTGACAGTTGCCTCAGTAATGGAATGTAGTGCTTTGTATCCAGGGGCTACTTCATAAATTTCTCAGTGGAGGCCACCACTTCCAGGTTTTCTTTAAAAACTTAGATTGTGGTTGACTAAGTGGCCCTTTAATTAATAATCAGGCCACTTTCAAAGCTGTGCTGTGAGTGTTGGCAGAATATCAGCCAAGCAGGCAAGCAGAGGAACACATTTTTGGGGACAAGGAATAAAGTGGTATGAATGTTTGAAGGCATGAAGTATATTCAATAATAGACATGGTTTAGTAAGTTGAAGTAACTATGTTCAGGGTCAGATTTCCTCTTGCAATGCGTTTAAAGGAACTGGTTCTTGTTTTTGTTTTTCTTTTTTTTTTTTTAAGATTTTTTGTTTGTTTGTTTGTTTGTTTTTCATCTCAATAGGGAAGTTTATTCAGGGAGCTCTCCAAGTTAACATGGAGTGAAGACAAGGGATAACGCTTGATAATAGTGCTATCTTGATGCAGTTGATGGCAAACATTTTGGGGGTTCCTCGAAATCAGGGTTGATAGGTGAGACAAGTCTGTTGTGGTATTCTTTGGTAAAGCATCTGTCAAAATATCATTATAGGGAGTTCTGTGTAGGAAGAAATAGGGATAATCATTAGAAGTCTACATGCCCTCCCCACATATTTAATTTTAGAATTGGAACCTATTAAGTGGCAAGCACAGTCCTAGGTTCTCGATACACAGTAGTGACCGAGAACCTCAGAATCCAGGGATCTCATTCAAGGTCTTTTCATGCTTTAGCTTTTTGAATCTCATGTTCCATCTCATTTCTGCTCAGTCTTCTGTATATACTCTGTACTCTGCTCAAACAGCTGAGAATCCCCTAAACTCTTTTATGTCTGGAGTCTTTACACATGCTGATTTTTCCCCTTTCCATATGGGAAGTGACCTTTCTTCTCCCCCACCCGTGCTCCTACTTGTTCTTTAGGTGTCAGCTTCTAGAACCACTTCTTTCTGTATGCGCTAGATCCACTTGGTTGCACTTCCTCTTTTCCAGAAGTACTATGTCTACATCGCTACAGTACTTGGACTTTTCTTCTTTGCCTGAGGATGGGAACTTTCATCTCTTAGACATCAGTACCTCGTGTGCACTGTAATGTACGTATCTCCTCACTATTCACAGACACTGCCTTTAATCTCTATTCTTGATTTCAAAGAATAGGGGATAAAGTAAAAAACTAGAAAGAAAAAGACCATGACCATACTGCTCTTTCTCTTAACCTTATATGTTCTTATTTTTTTCTGTAAGTACTTTACTGTACAACTTGTCAAGGTGTCAGTTTTCACTCCATCCTCATCGTTTTTGTAGTCCTGTTTACCTGTTTGTGTTGTACAAAGTTTCTCAATTTTTATGACCTCACGGAAGAGTCTCTTCTGCACAAACTCGAACTTTAACACACAATGAACAAGGAAGCATTCAGTGGCTAAAAAGAAACACTAGAGCTATTTCTTGACTACAAGTCTGTTCCTTTACTGTTAAGTGGTGAGGGTTACAGTATAGATTTGAAATTTAAGGTTTTGTCTCTTTTTTGTATTTCTGAAAATTGATGTGAACTTAGTTTAGTCACTAAACCAAGAAAACCCGGAATGATAATATTTGTTCAGTGAATGAAGATGCTGGAGTTAGTGAGGAAAGTTAAATCCTGTTGCCATGCAGTTGAATTGTGAACCAAGGGATATATGGGCAAGATGAGGTGGGCTTTGGAGAATATAAATACAAGTGACTGAGGGTACTGTAGGTGCAGAGAGCTCCCTTAGGATTTGTTTTTATTCAATAATTAAAGGAGTGCTACTGAACAATAATTATATGTAGAAATAGATTGTTGATAATTGGTCCATTGAGACAGAATTTCCATTTAAAAGCTTAAAAGGTAACTTGAAAAGCATGAAATAATATTGAATATATTGTGGTGGAATGTGCTTTTAATTTAAGGACAAGGTTTCCC